AAAAAGAAAAAATGTTCACGGTGTTGTGCGCCATTATTATATTTTGGCGCCCATTCCTCGATATCACATTATCATTTTCTGCTTTTGCTCACCAGATTTAAAGAAAAGGGTTTTTATGTAAAAAAAACTATAAAACGTCAAAATAAAAACAATAAAATGTCATCTTGCAGACTAGGTAGTTGTTAGGGTGCAAACAGTCATTCCACGTTTGCTCACTAGGATCGTTGTGAGCATCCATCTATCGAGGAATCACTCACCTACACGCGTTGTTGGTTGCATGTGTTTTGTGAAGCCAAGTAGTCTGTAGTTTTCATCTCTAAGAAGAAAGTTGGTTGAGTAGCAAACTGTCAGTGAAGTATCTCGTAGGCAAGGCCGGAATGTGTGCATATCGCATGCACACGTGTTCCCTCGCCAGAGTCCGCGTGGCGTCTCCCCTTTTCCCTTTTTCCCCCTATATCACCACGGCACCCCATAAGTGTTTAGGCCTTAGGCCTTCGTGTTAGTTGAATCTCAAGTAAGTGTATTTGAGACAGGAATCATCAATACATATTATTAGCACATAAATCCTCACTATGCACCTATGTATTGCCGTTTCCCTCTAGCTATAGTGTACAACTTACAGCTTAGACCTCCAGTAATGCCATCTCTGAAGCATATTTTACATCACATCAGAGCAAAACATTGATAACTGAAGCATCATGACGTTTAGGCAACACGTAAATCTAAGTTAACGTCTTGTAGAAAAACCTACATAATCTCACAAAAACCCAATACAATGTCAAAAAAAAATCAACATAATGTCGCTGTTCAAGATTCGTAACACCCGTGCCTTCTGCTTATCCATTCTTTCAGACTGTCATTGTGCGTTTGGTGCTTCGCTTGGTCAAATCGAAAGCGCAGTTTTTCCCGCGCAAATAGGTTCTCGAACACAATGAACCATGTCCTAAAGGGTAGAGGATAATGTACCGAAAGAGTAAGTACTAATTGAATTTATTCTAACTTGTTTTATGTCTCTTACACACATTGGAGCCAACGTATGATATATGCTATCATTAATCGTCAACGTTGGCCAATCCCGGCCAATGCTTATTGGTTTGGCGTTCACACGTTGGTGTTGGCTTACGTTGTCCCACTATGTGAATGCGAATTTAGAATTTAGGATGGAAAAGAGGAAGAGAGACACTTTTCTTGGGCGATCTCGCAAACATTTAAAACAAATAGAATGTCGCAGCTCTTTGTCGCAGTGTCGTGAGGTCGAGGTCGCGATCTAGAAACTCCCATAGACATAGACATCGTCATGATTCCCATCGTCCCATATCTTTCAAGCGAAGAAGAGCGTGAACACTAGATTGTACCAAGCTTGTAACTTGATTGATGTGCTGAAATCCAATAAGGTATCAGTCTATAACAACATTGAGCTTCTCGAAGAAGTTCTGAATATCTTGAACGCCAATCCAGAAAAGCCTCGAAATATGAGTTTAGCATTACACGAAGAGCTAGTACCAAGGACGCGTAATATTTTGCTCAATGTTGAAGCAAAGTCTTTTCTGGATAGGCATCGAATACCTGCTAGTCTGCAGTAACTTATCCCTCCTAAACTAGACCCTGAGATTCAGCTATAATATAATATATAATTACAATCTGAGGTTCAGAATTAATCCAGTCGGGAAATATCTGCTCTTGGCAAAGGAGTTAGAGCGCTTATAAAGGGTGTGTGTCTCAACAAGAGCAACAGATTTGAATTTGTTGAATTGTACAAATAATATGGTGTTTACAGCTGTCATGTCCAGACCACGCGATTAGACGTCATGGAGCAGTATTCAAACGAGCAACGTTTAATTATTGTAAAAAATACAAATACGAAAATGGAGAAAATTACGCTGAAACAGTTCGCAAGTTACGTACAATTTTCGGACGCAATAATGCGCCAAATGAGTCGACAGTTCGCCGTTTAATTACAGAATTTGAGACTAAATTCACGTAACTGAATGTGACGATCCCTCGAAAAAATAGTCGCAGTGCCGGAAAGTGACCAAGAATCCAGGCACTTTCATTCGGTATCGTGGCCAAGAATTGAACCTTTCCAGACACACTCTTCAACGAATTATGACAAAAGATCTGTGCTTGCATACCTGCAAGGTTCAAGTGATACAAGAACGGACCATGAGCAGCGCCGTGAATTCATTGACTGAGCCCTGGATCACCACCAAATTGATGCGGATTTTTCGAAGAAAATCATTTTCTCTGATGAGGCACATTTTCAACAAATGAGTATGTCAGTAAGCAAAACTGCCGAATTTGGGATTCTGAAAACTCTCGTGTATTAATCGAACAACTAATGCATCCACCGCGAGTTACCGTTTGGTGCGCATTGTGGAGTGGCGGAGTGGTTGGACCGTATTTCTTCGAAAATGCAGCTGGAACTGCGGTAACTGTTAATGGTGTGCGGTATCGCGAATTGATAACCGAGTTTTGGTGGTCCCAGTTGGATCGAATTGATTTGGAGGATATGTTCTTCCAACAAGACGGTGCGACCTGCCACACAGCACGCGAAACAATGGTGTTACTGCGGACCAAGTTTCCAGGCCGTGTCATCTCTCGGTTTGGCGATCAAAATTGGCCACCAAGATCGTGGATCTAACGCCAATGGACTTCTTCCTTTATAGCTATGTGAAGGAAAAGGTGTATGCGAACAAGCCACAAACGTTATCGACGAAATAGAGCCACAGTTGTGCGTAAACGTAATGTAGAATCTTAAGAAAAAACTGACTCTGTGCCAGAGGTTTCGTGGTGGCCATTCACCGGATGTCCTATTTCATGTTCAATCGCAACTATTCCTCTTTATGTTGAAATATAAGTACTCGCTTAATTCAAAAGAAATTGTGTTTTTCTTGAAAATCAAGTCTAGAGCTCTTATTGAGACACCCTTTAGTTACCTATGAATCCAGCGAAGGAGATCTGCGTAAGGAGCTTCTACAGTCTACAGTCTACAAGTCTATTTAAAATATGCCATAAATTGAAAAACAGCCAAATCTTTTTAAATTAAGCCACAAAAAAAGGGGGGCAGTTCGCTTCAAACACAAAAAAGAAAGGAATAAGCCCTGTGGATGGATCACTGGCACCCCCGGAGGGAGACGACCCATAAATACGCTCGCAAGGACAATCGTTTATAGTGAAGGTAATGAGCGAGGCCCATGCAGATTGCCTAAGGCGTTTTTATGAAAAATGGGATGAGGTTACTAATAATTCCGTAGTCTTGAGTTCAATTCAACGCTATACGATGTAGTTCTTAGGGAGACCCATCCAAAGTAAACATCTTCATCCTCAAATCATTCCCTAACGCTGATTATGTACATAAATAAGTAATTTCTGTTAAAAGGGGTCAATACAAGATGCCCAGTTGAAAATCAGTTTGCAACAAAATTTTACTAACAGATAAAGCAAATGGTAAAAAACGATTTATCCGAATCTGAAATGCTTCCTCAGCATACCTCATTTCAAAATGAATGACTCTGCAGGACCGTAGTTTGACTCATACTGCATTACTACTTTATGACTTCAACTGACTTAAAAGATGCCTATTATCTTGTCTCAATCCAACAGGAGTGTAAAAAGTATTTACGTTTCAGATATGAGGATAAATTGTATGAATTTAATTGTCTTCCATTTGGTCTGGCATCGGCACCCCACGCTTTTACAAACATGTTGCGCCCAATAGTACCACCGCACCAATGGTATTACTTGTGCAATTTATCTAGATGGTTTTTTGTTAGCCGAAAAAACTGAAAATGAGCCCAGAGTGGACGTTCAGAAAACCGTCATATATTTACAGCGCTTAGATTTTATACTCAATGAGAATATAGTCGTAGTCAGCGTTCTTGGCGGTTACGTCATCAACGCCATATGAAATAAGTAAAGAGATCGAGTCTCCCTACCATGGGGGGATCTTAATTTTCCTAGCTGAGAGAAACCGATTTGAAATTATTTACTAATCGTAATTCTCAATAATCTTCTAATCTAGTACATAAACATGAGTAGAGTATGATAAGCCATTTGATGTTTTTAAAGCTGAAGTAAAAGATACATACGGAATGTACAATATCATACAAAACATCACAACTATTTGCTAACTCGATGGAACATTTAACATTAGATGTGGATATGTGGCAAGCTTACGAGAGCTTTAGAAGAACAATCTTCAATAATAAAATGCTCAATTCCTCCTGGAGTGGAATGCGACTATATAAATTACTGTTAGACGAAAAAATACATTTTGATGATGATGCCCTTAAGCTCGAGCTTTTAAATCTATGTCACCTTAATAAACATCAAACTTGTATCACCCATATCTATCAAAATACTTAACAATCTACATTAAGGTGCACACATACAAAATTAAGAATTATAAATGTTCAAAATTGTTTCAAACAAAGTATGAATTATTGGATTTCTTCATCAGAGTCATCTGAACTTTCTCCAAAGTGAATGATTATATAGTCTCCTCCCTATTAAACACTTTACATTATGGTTGTCCTAGTCGTTTTTAATCAAGTCCTCGGTACGTTTCACACAGTTGGCCGAAGCTGTAAGAGTCACGTTCGCTAGAGCATCGTCCCAAGCTTTCAAAGCTTCCTTGTCACTATAGCCGTTTTCCTCAATATGACGATAATAGTACTATTTGGCTATTCCCCAGATTAACTCTATAGGGTTGTATTGACAGTGGTGAGGAAGGAGCCGCAAAACATGATTTTCATCTTCATGTAATATTTCGTCTATGATATATCTTGGAGCCGATGATTTATTAAGTCGACATAGATTTAAAAGCTCGAGTTTATAGGCATCAAAATGTATCTTTTTGTTTTACAGACATTGCTTCAATTGCATTTTACTCCAACTGGAATTGGACATTTTTTCTGTTAAGCTACTCATTGCTTGTGAAAATGTTCGTAAAGAAACTTTTGTTTTTCGGTCCGCATAAAATCATCTAGGTCTGCCCTTACACCAACCATCTCTTGAACATGGAGCCTATCCTGTTCTTTCATGGCTGACTCTGAGTTTCTAATACAGAAAATGTATGTTTTAAAAATTTGGAGGTTGATTGACGAAGCTAAAATTGCGCCTCTGCATGAACCGTTTCACGGAATTTCATTACACGTTTAAACTTCCATTCATATTAAATAAACCCCCTGACACATCGAATATTCACGTGGAATGTCACTTGATGCCATAATATCGGAACGATCAATATTTAATTCACTTTTGCCCCTATTTTATTCAGCTGGCGATATAAAATGGTCTTGACGCTACGCCTGGGAAAAGCTTTGATGTTTTGCATGTGTGAATGTGTCATTGTGAGTTACGACACATTAGAAACTCTAATATTTAATTTGATCTAAATTCATAAAATCTTCTGCTGTCATATCCCCAATGGATTCTGGCCATGGAGTGCAGGTATGAACAATTCTAAAAAATTCATGATCGATGCTGTTCAGCGGAGAGCATTTCAAATAATCCATCGCTCTCCACCATCGGGGAGTCTCGGGACTTCGCACCGATGCGATGGGTCGTCAGTGATTTGGCCACATTTGGCAATCATCTTAACAGTTCAACAATCGGATTAAAAAGATGTTCTTAACCTTATTTATAGCAGCCCCGGTGCCCCGGTATTTAGGCTTCTGCGTACGTGGCTACTTCGATTTAACAGAAAGTGAGACCTGTCTGCCCACTGCCGTATGTGCGTCTTCGCCCTAGACCTTGCTTGTCCGTAATTTTGTCTTGGATAATTACCTGCAAGATTTCATAATTTTTACCTCTAAGTGTAAGCATTTCTAACTAAGGATAGCCAATCCGATCCTGTATTAAAGCGTTCAAAAAATTATCCAAGATGAAATGAGACAGCCTGATGTCACGTACGTGAATTTGGCAGAGCTATGTTTCTATGTTAGAAATCTACTTTGAAAAGATTAGTATCTCATAGATGGAGCTGCATCCAATTATATGCTCATATTTGGTCATGTAGTTGGTTAAGGCGCCATCTATGAGATACTACATTCGCGTCAGTAGGACAGGTTACGGGAGTCCCTTCACGTGGATCATCTACTGATTCACATACACGTGTCTTTTACATCACCTGCAATTTCCGAGGGTTTTACGCCAGATTTCACAAAAAATTGGAACACAACACGTTGCTTGTAATGTGAGTCACTCATTTTCAAGACGCTACTCAAAAACTTTCCTTTAAAAAACACCCACAAAATTCAAACCACACGTACAATCGACTTCAGTTTTGGACTGTGACTCAAAAAAGGGCACTTTTGCCGGGCAGAAGTTGATAGGTGACGTAGTGTTGCCAGACCTCAAGTTATTACTGCATTCCCGGAATTTAATTGGCACTCCACGAATACTAGTATTAGGTTCGCTATCTTGGAGTAGAATAAGTTAATTAATAGTGTAAGCCAGAAACTAGCTGCTTCTAAAGTGTCTACAGATTCTTCATACCATAAGAGGTCTCACTGGTACTAGCTGGCATGACACCTTCTTTGTTGCCAGGTTGTCAAAGTTGTGGAAAATCCACCAAGTTCATACTCTACGTTACATCCGATTTTCCCATCACGATTAGGCACTATATTTTAGTCATAAATAATTGAACATCAAAACATTTATGAATCATTTATTAAATCTGGATCAATGCAGTAGGAGGATATCTATTCAATAATAAATAAAGTATACAGACTTCAACTGGTGGAGTCACTGCGTGGACCAACCAGCTGGTTAATGCAGCATCTGAAAATTTTATTTCATCAATTAATGACATTAGATTTGCAAATCCGTTCGGTCACGAAAATGGTATAAACATGCTCACATTTCTAATATCTACCAATATTGTATTATCTTTTGTTAGCAATATGATGTTGGTTTCAAGAGATGGTCCTATATAAAAACAGAAAACTGCACTTAAACTACTAAGATATACGAAGAGCAGGGACCCACGTTCCATGCCAACATTGTAGTTCATGATGACTTTCTCTAAAACAGGCGACACATGCATAACAAATAGGGGAAAGCACAGGTAGAAGCTGATTCCCATCATCATCCCAATCTCACTATAGTTGCAGCAACAGCCTCAATAGCAGTGGACCATGCCCAGATCGCGTAAATTCTGTGGGTAAGCACTCCCACTCCCAAAGTCACCCAGCCTCTCCAAAGCGAAAAGCAATGGCGTAGCAATCGGGGGGCGTCGGGGGTGGTCCGCACCGGGTGTCACCTTTTTTGGGGTGACACCCACTCGGTGACTCAACTTTTTCAGAGTTGAACTTCTGACAAAATCGAAGCCTCTTCAAGATCTAGCTCCATTGTTTGAGATCGTACAAACAAATACTTTGCTTTTGGCGAATACTGAAGAACTGAAATTAGCTACATCCAAATTAACTGATTTTTATGAAGAGGTCTCAGAAGCAGAATTACTTTTGGAGATACCAAAATGTTACAGTTTCTGATTGAGTATCTCTAGATTTTTTTAAGTTTATGGTAGAATGGAATTTTACAGAATCTCTTCCAAATCCTATGATTGCACTAAAATTGTTCATGGCGATTTGCGTGTCCGTAGCTTCCTGTGAAAGGAGTTTCAGTAAACTAAAATTTATAAAAAACTATTTGCGGGCAACAATCACCCAATCGCGGCTTGGTATATATTATACGAAATTTGGTTTGCGAAATAATTGTAAATTCTGGTTTTATTGCTGCAAAATGTTCAAGGGGCTATTTAAAACATGGACGCATAAAATGGGTACGCCAATTTTTGTGGGAAAACTATTTATTCGACAACAAAGAATGAGAAAACGTGTTTTTGGGATTCAATCGAAAGTATTGAAAGGAACGAAAAAACTCTTCATATAAGATTTTTAGGTATTTATGAGACCTACAAAATGAGATCACACGTAAAAAGATCCGACTAATTGCAAAAAAGTTATGGCCGAAAACTGAGGCAAACTGCAGGTTTGTTGGTAAGGCGACGATAATTTCTCGCAGATACTTGAAATTCTTCAAATCCGTAGGATTTGAACTTCTAAATAACCACAACAAAATTGGAGTATATTGGTCAAGTAGTTTTTAGAATTTCTGATTGTTTATCTCAAAACACCTGTTTTCTGGACATCAGTACTAGTTTATTGAGCAATATACAATACAGGGCTAGTTCAAAGTGCATTTTATAGCAAAATACACTACTTTACCTTGCCCTTATGAATCGCAAACCATTCCGGAAGATAAATACTTATTGTTTTGATGCAAAAAAGGATGGGTGACGTTTTTTCTTCTAAACAAATTCAAACATTTCGGATTTGTGAGTAATTCGCAACAAAAAATGATAGACACATCCGCTTTGTTTGAAAATGTGTACCTATAGTAACGTATGTTTTTCGAATATCGTAGCGCATTTGTTCAATTACTCACAAATAAAAAATGTTTGAATTTATTTTAAATATGAATATTAAATGATCCATTACAATCATAAAAAATGAGTTTTGAGTTTTTCGATGGGGTGGCACCTGCAACTTCCGCACCGGGTGCCACCCAAGGTAGCTACGCCACTGGCGACAAGCCAGCATTTATGTATTTATTTATACAGGGTGACTTTGAAGTTGAGTCATTAATTTCCAGGTAATGATTGTAGAAGGAAGATAAACCAAAATATGTGTGTAAAAATGAAAAAAAAAATAAAAAAAAATGTTACCTTGTTTTATAAAGTATCCTCCCGACAAGTATTTCAGTGCGGACCTGTATTTGATCGTGCGGTCTTGAAGCACCGGCATGCCCTCCCCTGTGAGGTCTTAAGTCACCTGATTCACGCTCCCTATGTACTACATTCAGCATTTTCGTAAACATGTGCCATTTTTTATTTCGTTTCAGCCATGCAACAAACACCACTATTCACTCACGCGTTACCGACTGACACATCTGAATACAACTGAATAAAATTGTACATTGTAGTAAAAACATCGTTTCAAATTCTTTCGCTTTTTTGTTTCCAATGCGATGAACGGATAAGGCGGATTATATCCGTTGTTGCCAAACATGAGCACATAATATTATTATTGAGACAGGGCGGTACTCAAACTTCTAAATGGCTATAACTTTGTTACTTTAATTTTACCAGAAAAATGTTAAAGGAAAAAAACATTTCTTTTGATCAGATCTACTCACTGTTAAAATAAATGACTCAACTTCGAGGTCACCCTGTATACAATATAATATACACCATTCAAACAATTTACGACACCATTTAACAGATAGGAACACAGGAATCAATTTTAAGACATAAACATGTTTAAAAATATCTCAGAATTACCAAATGACAACCCACTATTACATAAAATCCTTTTAAACTGCGCAAATTATACGAGAACAAACCTACAGCATTTCTTGCACTTTCACAGGTGTTACATGCTACATGTATTGGAAAGTAAAGGTATTGATTCTCGCTACGCTTAAATAAAAGTATTTTGAATTGGATCGCGTTTTAGCATAAGATACATGAATTCGGATCTTACTAAGTAAATATTCACAATCTATGGCATTTTCAAGTAGTTTATATAAAAATACACACGCAGCATAGTTTCTGCGCTGCTCCCAGTTACATAAGTTACATCTACTAAGTGCCTAGAGCCAACTTCTAGATACGTACCATATGCATTGTACCGTGAATACATTACAAACCGCCACTGAATACCCTCGATTTTACCAGAGTAAACTTCATAGTCAGGGATTGAACAAATGCACCATACAACGGAATCATGATATTCCCATTCCTAAAATCTCTACAATTATATAATTATATATAAGCCTTGCTAACAACAGCAACAATATACGCTACAAATGACACCTGCTTAGTTGCGAATTATCAGTGTTATATAAGAATCTATAGGAACAAGTTTGCGTATAACAGACATAGCGTAGCATTTATCAACAGCTTATTATCGTGGTACCATTTACTCAAATTGTTTAAAGTCGTTTTGCAAAGCATCCATGGCATTACTTGTACAAC